ATAACTACTATTAAACTTGTATTTAATAACTTATAACCTATATATTATTGTTCATGAAGGCTGGAAGTGAAAAACGCCTTATATTCAGGTGTGCATATTAAGCAGGTTATCTTCTACAGATAAAATCTCGAGATGGACTAAAAATGAACTCCCAAAATTTACTGCCAGATTCTGGAAGATAAATTCTTCAAACAGTGGTATAAGAGGATGTGGTGCTGGTCCTTCAAGAGTTACTCTCAACTTATCTGTCTATAAAGTATGTGAAGTAACATTTCAGTATGTGCTTCTTATTAAGTAGGGGTCATTTTTTTTAGGATTCTATACATAACCTAAGTCTCTGAGAACCTGACACCTTTGTCGTAGTTCTGGTTGCAGTTCTGGAAAATGGTGGCGCTGGAGACTAAATGGTTCCTGGTGATTTCACATCTAATTCTTCACCTTCATTCCTAATTCTTTTGCAGTTAACATGCATCTTTTCTTCTCCACAAGTTTTTGACTGACCCTGCTGACCACTGAGAATTTTGCTGTCCATTGGTTATGCATTAACTTTGCAATTTCTAGTATTGTATTAGTTTTTAATATTTCTCATGGGAATTTAATAATTTTTTTTCTGAGTTAAATCTCTCTTTTTTTGGCTCATTTTATCTGTAAAAGAAAATCTGCTTAATAATTATGCAGACCTGAATTCACCTGAAGATATTTTTCACTTTCCAGCCTTCATGAATAATTATATATCAATTATAACTGATTAAGTACAAGTTTAATAGTAGTTATTAATATTGATGTATTTTGGAATTGGTAAAATGTGCTTGGAAAAAAATATGATCAGAATATCAACTTGTATAATAATTATGCATGCACTGTATTTTTCCTCTTCTGCTGTTGAGGTAATGCAAGGAATGTTATCAGAATTTAGCAGCCTCGTCTCTGATTGGTTGGAATTAACGCATACTGTAACGCTGGGTTGTGTTGAGCAAAGCGAGCCGTTGGAATTTAGAGAGCACTGAGGTCGGGCATCAAGGGAGCAATCTAGTGAAACATTGCACACGCAAAAGAGAAGGTCTGCACAAATCCAAAAACTTATTTTAAATGCTAAATTGATTTTCGTGCGCTCAAAATACTTTCTTCTTTGCGAGACAAACATTTTCTCCACAACACTCAGTTTGCGTGCTTGCAAAACGCACTTCTGCATGCTCAAAATATGATCTTTTGAGTGCAGAATTGTGGCAGAGATGTAATCCCATAGTTAACCAGCATGATTTACATCGAGTAAAGATCTGAGTAACTAGCATCATTTTAAATGTACAGTTTAGTCAAAGACACACAAGAGCTATTTGTGTTTATAGTTTACCAAAAATGAAATGTCATCATTTATTCACCTTCATGTCATTTGTTCATTTGTTAAAATGACTTAGTAAAACATATTTAGATAAATATTGCTGTTTATTAATATGTATTTTCATGCCAATGCATATAAATTAAAAATAAATTAATAAATATTCATTTAGAGCTCAGGCTCTAAATAAACGGAAGGAGCGAAACAGATAAAAATAAATCTGAACACAAGACACTAGGGACTGGTGGCCAATTAACAGAATAATTAACCAAACTAAGATCCATTCAGAAAAAAGGTCACAGGGCAGGACACTTAATTTAAGTGGCTTATAATCGAAGTGCCCTCAGATAACAGAGAAAAATGTGAGGGTTTATCGCTCATTTAATCACTGCATGAGTGCTTTTTGAAGGATTTTTCCCAGGTTCAGTACAAGTTCAGCTCTGTGGACAGCATCTGTGATCAAATGAAAATCAAACACAAATATGTTTACAGTAAAATACATGCATGGAAGTCTGTGGAACTGTTTGAAGATATAACATGAGACTGCTGTGACAGAAACACTTACCAACTCTGTGCAAAGTCATAATCCATGAGCAAGTAAACCTAGGATGAATTATAATCCAAAACAATGGGACCTAGATGCAAGGCTTTGCAAATGAAAAATGTATTAGTGGAATAGTTGACCCAAAAATGAAAATTTGCAGAAACCAAGAGGAGTTTGTTTCTTCATCAGATCTGGAGAAATGTAGCATTGTATCACTTGCTCAGCAATGGATCCTCTGCAGTGAATGGGTGCCGTCAGAATGAGAGTCCAAACATCTGATAAAAACATCACAATAATCCACAAGTAATCCACACCACTCCAGTTCATCAATGTCTTATGAAAAGAAAGGCTACATGTTTGTAAGAAACAAATCCATCAGTAAGGCATTTTAACTTTAAACTGTCGCTTCCAGCCAAAATACAAGTCCATAATCCATGATAACGCTTCCTCCAGTGAAAAAGTCCATCTCCTGTTGTCTCTCACATCAAAATCCACTCACATTTATTTAGAATTGCTTTGCCTTGTAAACGGTGCTTGATCTGTGTAGATTTAGCTCCTGATTCAGACCAGATGACTTTTCACTGAAGAAAGCTTTATGGATTATGGACTTGTATTTTAGTTAAAAAAATCTTAATGACAGATTTGTTTCTTTTAAATACACAGCTTTTATCTTCTCCAGATGTTAACTGATGGACTGGAGTGGTGTGGATTACTTGTGGATTATTGTGATGTTTCTATCAGCTGTTTGGACTCTCATTCTGACGGCACCCATTCACTGCAGAGCATCCACTGGAGACCAAGTGATGGAATGCTACATTTCGCCAAATCTGTTCCCATGAAGAAACTCTTGTATGGCCTGAGCACAGGACGCATGGAAGTTTCACAATTAAACAACCAGGTTGCAAAAGAGTTACCTGCTAGAGGTCGGTCACAAAGCACTGGTCTGAGGGATTCATGTCATGCAGGCGCATTAAACCTGAACTTTGATGAAAGGAACCATTGATCAGTGCAGTGAAAAGCCTGCAGACCCACAACCATCTGAAGGAACACAACAGCCAATCAGATTTCTCCACTTTAATCGATCAGTGGGTTTATAGAAGACAAAACCCAAAAAACAAAACGAGTGAAAAACGTCTCGCAGACAACGTGAACATTATTTGTCTTCATTACAAAAGAAAGTTAAACTCCGAGTTCATTTCAGAGTCGAAAGCAGCAAATAAACAGACAAATCATATCAATAAAAATAAATAAACGATGAAAGCTGAAAGAACTTTTGGGTTTGCCTTCAGCTTCATTCAGAAACCATTTCTAAAGAGCATCTTGCCATTTTTAAATCATCAGTTTGTAATCGCAGCAACGGTAACCATTCATGTTCCTAACACAACAACAAAGCCTTAAACCTACAGTGACATTTCAACCACATCCATTTCTCCATATGATGCAAAAACACAATTAATCCTTGGGGGTTATAGTCTAATTATTAAAGAAAAGATGCTTAATGAACATTAAACCAAAAATTATTCGGTTAATTACACTTTGTAACGTTTTAAATCTAGAGTGATCTCATTAGTTTTCATAAGTATTTGTATGTAAAGTACATTTGCAATTTTAACCTTTGAACTAAAATTGTATTTATGTTAAATAATATTTATATTAAATTTATGTTTTATCCAAAGCAACTTGCATTGCATTCAATGTGCACATTAAATCAGTTCATGCATGAACACATTTACGTGTAATGTTGTAATGTATTTATCTGTGCAATTGTAAACATTTGTAAAATCTGTACTAGAGTCACTTTACATACCAATACTTATGTATCTCCAATGAGATCATGTTTATAAATCATAACATCTCAAATTTGACTACAAATCTAATACACAGCGTCTCCCTGACATGCTGCTTCAACACTAACTGCGGTTACTGAAACCACGCCGCCTTTCTTTGCGTGAAGATTTGGGCGCATTATGCAAATATACCCACATAGTGACCTAGATATGTGGGGGCGTGTTAGAATGAGCCGTTTTAGGGGGGCGTGGCAGAGTCTTAACTTTGATAAAGAATATCTCTTTGGTTTTGAGACTTTAGTCTTTGCAACTTC